CTTGGCAGACTTTTAAATATATATCCTATATAATATATATATATATTGAAATTCCACATTTAAAATTTAAAAACACTATATAACTAGACAAAATTGATGAGATTTATATATATATAAATTTATATTTAAGTAACGTATATTATAATAATTATATATTTATATTATATATTATTATATATTATTATTATATATATATATATATATATATATATATATATATATATATATATATATATATATAATATAACCTTGACAGACTTATTAAATTCGCCATTTTTGGAGAACGTCTCATTAATTTTGTCTAGTTATATATAGTGTTTTTAAATGTTAAATGTGGGATTTCAAAATTCTAAAGTATCAGGAAAATGTTTCTTATATTTATTATAGATTTTCATTCGGAAATTCCCGCATTTTGCTTCCGTTTCTAGATTTGACTTTTTTTTTGTACCGATTCGCTTCAAATATTGTTATGTAGCGAAAGCTCGAGACTAATTACAGATATCTTTACCGAATTGCTTTCAGAACCGAACGGACGACTCGATATCAGAAGTGGGATGCGGCGTGCGATGCAAGATCGATCAGGTGAGCATCATCACTATTATTGGATTTTAATTTTTAATCGAACAAGTACACACTTGATAATTGTATAACAAAAAGAATTATGAGAGCTTAAATAAACTTGATTAAATTTCATGTATGCTAGATCGTACAATATTCGAGATCGCGTTTAACCAATAATTAATCAAATAACTCAGCAATAATAATAATAATAAAAAAAAACAATTATATATCTTCTTCTCATCGATACAATTTTTCCATTGCTTCACTATCAATTGGATTGGATTTTGATAAATGTTTCTTTTTCTTGATTTCTCTCTTGCGTAAACTTCTATTTATTCGAAGGATTCAAACACTTAAATTGTTCAATTTGATGTTATCGAGGCAAATTACATATACACGCGTACACAATAGAATTTAGCAGCAATAATTTAACAACGACAATACGCATTATATTTCATAGTTTCTATAAAATTGGCAAGCGTCCACGTGCTTGTCAGGAGAGACAGTGTAGCTGTAACTCCGCTAGGATTCGATAAGGACGTTCCGTACAATTAGTTCATTCAGAAAGAGAAAAAGTTCGAAAAGAACAACACCGAGACAGACCGACAAGTGGATGTATACCCCCTTAAGCGAGAATCTCTCGTCAGAATGAAGAGAGAGCACTTCATTCAGTTTGGGAACGCTTGAAAGCTCGGCGAGAAGGGACTTCCGGGCGAAGCATCCATCGACTTTACAGATGGCTCTGTCCGGATTGGTGACTTAGGCATATTCGGACGAGGATAATTCTCGCGGCGCGGCGCGGCGGGTCGCAGCGCAAATTTAAAGCAAGTTCGTCGGGGAGCATCGTCGAACCGTTTATTAACGTACGCGATCGTCGGAGACGAAAATAAAGGGATGCCGGTCCCCTGGCACAATGAAAGTACTTCCGCTGCCGTCCCGGGGGCCCTGTCCGCTAGCTCGCTAGAGAGACGGTAAACGGCAAATAAAAACAAAGCCAGGTCCATCGTCTCCCTTTCTGTCGCTCGCGTGGTCTCGCCCCCGGTCCTCTCTCTTACCCTTTCTCTCTTTCCCTCACTATTGGGGCGTACGTAGATACCCAATGAATGGATGCACATGTACACGTATTACGCGTACGAATGAAAGAATGGCCGAGCTCGTACGGCTTCGTGACTTTAAATTGGATCGCGTACAAGTGCGGCCTATGGCGGATGTCGCCAAATTGCCGTGCGACTCCGGATTCGCTCTCTCCGTTTACTCCTCTCTTTCCGCTCTCGTCGTCGCCCTCTCTGTCTCGCTTTCGGCTCCGTTCCGGAAGTCCGGCTGAAAAACTCGGGAAATCAACCACAGTTCACACAGGCTCCCAACTCTGTTTCTGCGACTGTGTCCGCAAGTCCTGTCCCGTTGCCCTCGGTCTTCGTCGTCGTAACAGGACTCTTGGTTCGTTGGCCAATCATGAACACAAGCAAGTGTATATAAACGTGTCCAGAAATATTAGGTCTACCGGAAAGTTCTGTCCGATAGTGTCACTTCAAGTTCCAATCCATATGCACATGTTGATTTCAGACATATATAACTATCTCTCTTTATCATTGCATTTACACGCATGTACTCTCCTAAATAAACTGAAACAAAGATGTCTCGTGTCATTATTAAGCGAGACGCGATCGTGAAAACATGGCTACCGATGATAATGCCAGACCACATGCTGCTTTGGCGACTCGTCGGAAAATCGCAGAGCTAGGCTGGGAAATTCTGTCGCATCCACCATACTCCCC